GAGCTCGACTAGCACCACCAGTACCACGACCACATCCAGTTCTACAACTACAACAACAACAACAACAACTAGCACCACGAGTTCGACCAGCACCACCAGTACCACGACTACATCCAGTTCTACAACTACAACAACAACAACTAGCACCAGCACAACTAGCGTCACTACTACTAGCGGCACGAGCTCGACTGGCACGACCAGTACCGCGACTACATCCAGTTCTACAAGTACCACTACTACAAGCACTCGAACAGGTAAGCAAGACTCAGTGGACGACTTTAGCAACACCTATCATCTATCCGGCTATTGCGCATTCGACTGTTGGCCATTGAATGGTAGAATGCAATTCTACCATCAGCTAATATAGAAATAATACGAAATCGCGAAACGAAACCAATGCTCCCAAGTAGATTGCCCATAAAATATGGAATGAGTTCAACAGTTGTTTCTACAATTATGTCTGTTTGAGTAACTACAATCAAAATGAGAAATATTATGACCGATATTCATTGTATCTTCAAAGTAAATATGTAAACGGTTTTAACATTAGATTTTTGTTCATTCAATACCTGGCAATACTAAATCGAAGAGGAATTTTCAAAAGCTGAGGAAAATAAAACCAATTATACAAAAAATGAGTATCCACTCATTAGATTTTGAAACATGAGGGTTGATCTGCTTTCTCAAAATATCAATTCATACTCTTAGATAACTCCCATAATAAAGTGATAAACATCCTATATAGTCCTTCTTTTTCTATGGCACTACTGAAAAAGTTTTACATTATCGAACGATGATCAATAGTTAACGTGGGATTTTCACTTTGAATAGAAAATCACCAAAAGAGAGACCGCAGAACTCTGTATCTGATATAATTATAGAAAGTGTATCAATTCTGTACACTAGAAAATACCTAATTCTAGCGATTGAATCAAATGTCGATAGGCACTTCTTCCCACTATTCTTATAGAGCCTAAATAATTAGTATACAAAGTAAGCATGCACGTAGAGTGTCTAGTATAATTTATCAGTACTTGAAATCGGGTCCTCATTTATTGTTCGCATTTACCTGCAAATATTTCTCCGTGAGACAAATGAGTTAAGTTTTCACAGTGCGATATGTCTTGATCAATTGCGCCGAGAGCTTTCAAAAATTAATGAAGCATATACCGACACCACTCAAGTTGGTAATTAATATTTGATGAAAAGACTGGCAACTGCATTTTCGTCAGTTATTATTATTACTCAAATACGAAAGTCTTAAATGTGAAAATGACTATCATTACATAATTTTGCAATCACTGTTTTGTAATGTTGTTATCTTTTCCATGACTAACGATGAGTCTAAATTATTAGATTAGAAACTATATTTGCTCATTCTGTAAGTACATTCTATTCCGAAATCTAACTTGAAAAAAGATTACTTGTAATAGTGTTGTTTCGTTTGAGTCAATTCGATTGCCAGCCCTTCATTCATGTTTGCTACTACTAAATAGTCTTTACAATACTTGTTTTAATAAATGCCTATATCAAACAATCTGAGACCATTGGAGTTTCACGAACAAAATATATTAGTATGAGAAAAGTATAAACTACACAACAAATATATAGTTGCTTTTAAAGCATAGAAAATATGAAAATCTGTTTTAGTGACGACTTCATGTTCAAAAAATGCAACGTACACAACCGTACTCTATTTGGAAAATCCATCCACGACGGGTAACGCTTTTGATTTCTACGGCTGCACATACGTACCCACACAGTCAAACGTTACTCTCTCTTTTGGCTTTCAACAAAATTCAAGCTACTGGACATTGGACGATGTTTCAGTTTCCAACAGTAACACAAACGTTTTGATCAATGGAGACTTTGAAGCTGGCTCAGCCTATACAGGTTGGTTAGGAGTGAATCATTTATCGTCGACCAACTGTCATTCAGGCTTCTATTGTTATCGTGATGGACTTATGGGATCGATGGATTATGTTAGTCAATCACTTTCACTTACTGTAGGCGTCGTATATACTATATCATTCTATTTGTCAACAGGCAATGGGACGTCGGGCATCTATGCCAATATTACCATCACTCCATGAGGTCGAAACCTCAAACTCGATAAACACTTTGAAATCCCTATATAAAAACTCATTAATAAGACTAATATTTTCTTTTTTTTTTTATAAAATTTTGATTTTGCTCATATTGATGAAAAAATTTAAAATAAAAACTCGTAATTCCTCTTGAAGGGCACGGCTGAGTGATCCAAAGATGTGGTTAGTTATGGTAAAGAAGCTTTTTAATGATAATGTTCATTTCAATAATATTCTTTTATTTCTCAAATTCTATCAAGTGTCATATGCCGATCAGCATTAAGATGAGAATGACTCATGGAATGTGATCAACAGTTAGAGTAATCTTAGCCTGCGAATCTCAACACATTCGTGTCTCTAATCGACACCCAAGTGATACCCTTCGACACATGACCATAGCCAACAATAATTATATTTTAAAAAAATGAGCTCCTCCGACGTCGGTATGCATTAAGTTACATGCAGGAAAGCTGGCACTAATAAGTTAGGTTTGACGACAAATTTCTTGAGCAATTTTCAACCAGTAGAATAGTGTCGCTTTGCTGTGCAATTTAAAGACTGCATTTACAAAATGGGCTTGCTCTGACTTCGCACTTACAATCATGTGACTTTCGGCAGTTACTTCTCTAGAACTTGCACTGAGGGTGTGGACGTGGATGTGGGTGTGGGTGGATGTGGGGTGGGGTAGCGGGGTTGTTCAGGATGAAAATAAGAACACCCACACCAGTCACCCACACCCACCCACACCCACATCCACCCACACCCACATCCACGTCC